TTATTATATTAGCCATGTTAAGCAAAAACAGTTTGAATATACATATTAAAGCTTTGCTATCTTAAAGTTGTTGCAATTTCTGGAAGTAACAACAATTTTTTTAAAAAAATCCGTAGTCTTAAAAACTAAAATCTTACTTTGCCAGGTAAATATGTAAATAATTTTCTTTTTTCTGTCTTCTGTGTGTCTGGGATAGGACAGCTCATCTGTTGCAATCACTTTCCCCCCCAATTATCTTCTAGATATCCTCACAGAACATTCTGACTCCTAAACAGGCTTTCCCAAGCACTCTGGAAATGGTTCAGCTTTGAAAAGGGCTGTGTTCTGAGTATTTGGTTTTGAGTCCAACCCTTAGGGGTCAGAACATTCTATGAAGAAATGTTTTGCACATATCTAGAATCTGCCTTCATTACAAATGTAATGAACATGCTAGAAAATTCCTACTAATGTCACCTATGATTTTATTACTTCCTGACGTCAAGCATGTCATCTTCTAAACATGGTATTCTTTTTGTTTAGGTTGGGATAAGCATTCCTATGGCTATCATGGTGATGATGGACACTCCTTCTGCTCATCAGGGACAGGGCAGCCCTATGGCCCCACTTTCACTACTGGCGATGTAATTGGCTGCTGTGTGAACCTCATCAACAACACCTGCTTCTACACAAAGAATGGGCACAGTTTAGGTAAGCAAACTGATCCTTTGGTCCAGTTTTCTCTAATATCATTTGAAACGTTGACATGTTCATAAGGTCTCTATCACAATTTAGTTCCATTCAAAGAACAGAGCGATTGGTTGTACAGTCAGGGCATTGTATGGGTCTGTTCTATTCCTAGAACTTCCAATACAGATTTATAGCATCTTGTGAAAGAAAGTACAAGTTTCCCTCACTTTATGCAATTCACTATTATGCAAATGATCATTTTTTGTTCTAAAATTCACTATGTGAAAAAAAATGGCTATTATGCAATTTATGCCAGCATAGTTAATTTGCACCCAAGTCTGGACTTCTTTCCCACCAAAACCACTTGAACTTTTTCTTGCCAAAACTCCTTTCTGCCCTCGCTCATGCATTTACTATCATATTATATGGTTGTTCTAGTTGTTGTTATAGTTCTATCATATTATATGGTTGTTTCATCTCCTACTTACTTCTGTATGTGCAGTAGCTACTCCTGTTCCTGTGGGGTCAAAACACCCATCAACATCTCATCCAACCTCCTTTCTCCAACCTCTGTAACACTAGAAACAAAGGTGGATATATTACATTATGCTGAAACTGGTGAAGGATCTTCAGTCCTAGGTTATGCTTTCAACCTTGGAGAATCTACTGGGTCCAACAGAACAAAGAAAGCCAATAATATTCATAGTGCTATGATGCATTCTATCTTTTCGTCTGCTGTATGCATTAGAAATACAGCTGTAGAAAAGATAGAGAAAATGCTTTAATAAAACATGAGATAAGGAAGCAAACCTGTTTGAGTAATGTAGTGCTTAAGACTAAGGCTCTAAAATTTATGAGTACATTTGTCAATGCATTTGACTTATAAAATTTGACATCATTCCCTGAAACTCCCCTTTTTCCACTGGTTCAGTGTTTTGTTTTATCCACATTTGCTTTATGCAAGCTTTTGGGGGAGTATAACTCTAGCATAAAGCAAGGGAAACCTGTATGCTGGTTTTATTTTTATTTTTTTAGAATTGATTATTGTAGATTGAGGGTAGGCAAGTGAAAGTGCTATTTATCACAATATCGGATAGGTTTATGGGATTCACTGCAGCAAGATGTCATGAAGACCATTGGCTTAAATTGCTTTGAAGGGGAGGTATACAAATGTATTGTTAGTTTATTGGCAGCTTTTGAAAGTGACAGCAGAATAGCCCCTTGATATTCCAAGGCAGCATACCCCTAAATAACCATTTGCTGAGGAACAGCAGTTGGGAGATAGCTATTGTTTCCATGTGGCACTGGTGGGGTTCCCAGGCTGTCTACTTTTGTTTTGTTTTTTTAAATGTAGGATTAGATGAATGTTTAGTCTGATGTTTCAGCACTCTGCCTGCCTGCATCATGTTGCCAGATGTTTCAGCTTTGTTCTTCAGGATTGCTTTACTGATAACTAGATTTTTCCCCCTATGTAAAAAAGAGAAAAAAAAATTGTATAGAACAAACTTCATCAACCTGACCTTCTCCTGCAGCAGTTCCCAGAAGTCCCAGCTAGCCTGGCCAAAGGAGTTCTGGGAATGACAGTCCTGTCACACTGAGAAAGTGTGAAAAATCCAATCCAGAAGCCAAGCCTGTTCTTAAAAGAGTCTGCTGTCAATTTTGGGGATAATATTGTCCTTTTACAGCATCTGAATTATTTCTATTAGTAATCATGTTGCAGTTTTTTTTTAAATATCTCAATCCTCTCTGTATGATTCTTCTCATCCTTTCCAGCCTGCAGCATTATTGTCCTATATGTGTTAAAATTGCTGTGCTTGGCTAAAAGTGGAAGAAGTTTGTCCTGAGATGCTTCTGGCACGGTGATAGATTTATCTTGCCTATGGAACAACTGTGTCACCAGTGAGAAAAAGCCTATGCAGTAGTGTAAATCCCACGTAGTGTTAAGCTTTCAGAAAGTTGTTTGTGGCAGGAAGGGGGTTACAGGATATTTCATTAAGTTCTTACCTGCTACCATTTTTGTTCCTGATTTCTGAATCTGTATTTCATTTTACTTAAAAATAAGCATGTTTAAAAGCAGAACTCCTCTGGCATTGTTGACATGAACAACAGCTTGTATTGTTTGATTGTGACTCCATGGATGAGCACATGCTTTGTATGAAGATGGTATCAGCCTCCATCTCTATTCTCTTATTAACACTCTAGCTGAAACACAGTATTAAGTTCTCAAAACACTAGATGGTGGAGCCAGAATGGAAATCCACACTATCCTGTCATTTAGATGTTGAAAGTGTAAGAAGCTAGTTCAGATGTTACTGTTACCACTCTTATACAACAAAACTAATCTTAATCATTTTAACATTTTGAAGCATTTCCATTTTTCTAACAGCAAATTGGAACTTTTTTTTTCTGCCAACAGCCAAATGTCCAAATGTTCTCTTTTTCTGATGCTACTACTCATTCCCCTGCCTTCCTTTTCTCCTACAGAGCTGGCTACTATGAAGGGGACTAATCTTATTGCTTAAAGTCTTGACTGATAGTTTACAGAGGGCTTTTGAAATGAGGTCCAAGGCTCCAGGTTGCCTGTCTTGGTTCCAAGAGTGAAATTAACACCACGTGAATGTAACTATTCCGATGTTGTATAAAATAATGGGTCTCTGCTAGAGGTGTGCAAAATGTTTCAAGGTTGAAATGTTCTGACACCAAAATGCCCTATTCTGGAAGTGGCCCGACCTTGAAATTTTGCAGGCAAAATGGCACAAATTCTTAACTGTTATGGTTTGCTTTAACTGTTTTTGTAAAGTGTGATCCATATTCAGGGCATTTTACCAAGTAATTACAATTTAAATTTCATTGCAGTAACAAATGATTGAGATTGAGAAGAAAAAGCCATAGATAACAAGCTAAACACTGTATGCACAAATAGTCTTGCAGGTAGCTTAGCTTTCCTTGCAGCAGGAAGTGGTAAATGCAGCCACATTTTAAAAATAACATCTCCAACTGGAAAAGGGTGGGGTCTTATCTCTGTGCCCAGAAATATTTGCTTCCTATGCACCGAGTTATGTTTGCCATGTTCTCTCCTGTCCTTTGATTCTTACTTTCCAGCATTGAGATTATAACAGGCAAAATCCAATTTTTTGTTTTCTTAGTTACGTGATACAAGAATGCACAGATTTCCATGATAGTTTTTGTTTTTCTCCTTATAGGTGGGATAAATACCTAGTCTGTTCTTGCAGGATAATTAACAGGGCAAGTACTGAGCAGCTAAAGTTGAAACACCATTTTCTCTTGCTGATTAGGAGTTAGGTTTAAATTCTCCTCCCCATAATACCTGTAGACCCTGAACTAGCAGAAGAAAAAAATTACTCCAGGCTTTTGCACTACTTGCTTAAAAATAAAGATAAGCAACACTTGCTTAAAATTAAGAATAACGTTCAGATCAGCGTTCAGCACACTCGTTCTTCATTCTGTTAACATTGATATACCAGGCGTGGCTTCCTGGAAAAATGACAACTTGGGCATGTTCAGTCATCTGTATGAATGCATCTTCTGTTTCCTTTGACTCAGTTGGTGCATTTACTCAGTGGTAGGCTCAGCAGAGATACTTCCTTTATATGCTGCTTTGTTCTTTCTCCTAGCAGTGGGTTACTTAATTACCTCCTATAAAATTATTTTAAAGGAACAGACTAAAAACAAGAGAAATTGCTCTGAAAAGGCCATTTCTGAAGCATGAATTGTCATTAATAGATCTGTATTAAATTAGTTTCCCCCCTTTCTTTGCTTTAATTTTATTTGTGTGCAGAAAAGCACACTGAAAACTTCTAGCTCAGATCCTCAGCCTTATTTTCAGAATAGCTAAAGATACTGAGAATTGGTGTGGGTCTGTGCCCATTAGAAAGTTTTGCAGTTTTGCAGAACATGGGAGTAAGAAGTAGAATTCTGTGCCTATTTACTCTGATCAGTTCCTAGATAGTCATGGACACCCTTACTAGGCACTGATTTCAGAGTAAGCAATCATAATATCCCACCATGGGGTTTCTTAAGTGAAATGTGAGAATGCATTGGAGATGTCCTTCATTGTCCACCAATTACATATTTGTTGCTATGTTGTATGTATAACAAATACAAGCTTTAGGGAAATGAAGGAAAATCCTTTGTCTTGATTCTAATATTTTCTCTCTCACAGGTATAGCCTTTACAGATCTTCCTGTAAGTACAACTATGTTTTATATTTCAACAAAAGATTGAAAAGATTGGGGAGGGAAGGGCTTGGGATATGTCTTCTCTTTGGGTACCATCTGGAAGTGATTAGTATTAGGCCAGTAGCTTGGGTGGAGCTCACATGGCAATGAGAAAGGCAGGTTTCATAGAGGAATTAGTTCTCCCATAAGCTTTTGCTTCAGAAAAGGGGAGTAAATTGTTAACAAAAGTTCTTCTATATACAGTATTGGAAGAACTTTTTTTAGAGCAGTGATTTGGCAAGAATGCGGTCTGCTTCTCTAAAATAAGCAAAATGGGACCTTAACCTGAAATGAAAATAAGCCTTTTCTGCTGCTGTCTTAACTGCCTCGAGTATACTAAAAATAACCTACATGTCGGTGAATTGTTAAGCACAGTACGTTCGCTTACAAAGAAGGAAATTCATAGATTCTGAACAAACCACATCTGCAGCCCAGACAGTTTCTTGAATCACTTGTTGGAGTGCAAATTAATCAACTGACTTCAGAGGCCATAATAAATCAAACTGGGCTTGCCTTTCATTCAGCAGTTTTACCAAACTTTTACCAGAGGTTGCAAAATCATGTGATCCAATTGAGATGAATTTTTGAGAGGATTTATGAAGATGATTCTTTGAAAGCTGCTTATTCTCTGGCATTTTGTTCTCGAGTGCCACTAAAGATATGTATTGATTCAGATTGAACTAACTACACAGTGTAGGCATAAATAGTTTTAATTTTTAAAAATTGTGCATGAACAGGGAGCTGATATATTTTTATTTATTGCCCAGGTGTGTGAGAAAAAGAAAGCAACCATATATATATTGTTCAAGTGTGATACTTTTTTTTTCTTTTTTGTACATCAGCATCAGACCTCCAGATTTCACACAAAAAGTCTTTAGATGCTGAATAGGTTCCTGAACGTGGATAGAATAAAAACTTAAAATAGCACTTTGCAAATGTACAAAGAACAGAGGCCAGCACCATTGACTCAACTGGGCTGTAACAGCTCAAAATAGAAGTTTGAATTTTGTTTTGAGTGGATAAGAAATTCATGCCTATTTCCAAATCTTGGAGCAGTTCCCTTCCAGTTTTTTTTAGCAATGTGGCTTTCTGAGCTGTTTCTGAAAATGGCACTTTTAAAGATATACCTTGCACTATGCTTGTCCCATTCCCAAAGCTAAATTTGCTCTAGTTAACCGTAACTGTTGAAAATAACATGTGAAAATAGACAGTGTTAATTTCTTCCTTGGCAAACAATTAGAGTATATTATAGGACTTCTGTTGAGTGACGCATACCCTGTAACTATGATCTGCTACGTTTTCATTGTTGGCTTTTTGGAAAATTGATGGCCCCTTCAGAAGTCTGTTGTCTGTTAATCTACGTGTACTTTTTTCTTTTTCCTTTTACTCCTAAAATCCTAAGATGCAAACAGTCTCTTAATTTGATTTTGACAAGTGTTAATTGTACTACGCTGACTCTTCCCAAATGGTTTTCAGGGACATATTTTCTGCCAAGTGCCCGTCATGTCTGCTTGGCCTGGAAACACCTTGTTCAGGCTTCCTTTAGTGACCCTCTTCAAAGGAAAAAAAAATGTATGTCTGTGCTTTCTTTCCTAAAGAGCCCGGGTTTTTTAACTTGGGCTTCTTTTTTTGGCAGGCCAATCTATATCCCACTGTGGGGCTCCAGACACCCGGAGAGATTGTGGATGCCAACTTTGGGCAACAGCCATTTGTGTTCGACATTGAAGACTATATGAGAGAGTGGCGAGCAAAGATTCAGGGCACAATTAAAAGGTTTCCCATAGGTGACCGGCTAGGGGAATGGCAAGCCATGCTACAGAAGTGAGTGGCAGCTTGGATTGCCGTTGAGTTAAAGCTTATGTTAAATTCACAATTGCCAAATAATGTTCTGCTGTAAAATGACATCCCCCACCACTCTTCCTTTATGGGTTTTCTTGTCCCTGAAGAGCGGAGTGGGTCCTTATCTTAGGAAGAACAGGAGCTAGCTGCTTTCCTTGCACCTTTTTTGTAGCTAATTGGTAGCACGGATCTGCTGCTTGCTTTCTGCCTGGTTTGATCATTTTTTATCCCGTTCGGTAGAGGAGTGAGAATGAGAGGTGAAGGGAAGATGATGATTTGCAAAAAGCCGTGCTCTTTTAGGCAGCCAGATCTTGGAAGAAGTGAAGGAAAATCAGACATTATACATATGTATGCCCTGATCAGAAGACATGCAAATCTGGTTGTTTTGCTCCCCCAACTAGAATGTCTAGATGAAGCATGACAAGTTCAGCGAACAGGCCAACTTAACATACGTGTGCTCTGTTGTAGGATCTTCTCCCTCATCCTGTTGTAGGATTTATATATATGCCATACTGTCTTTTGGGACAGTATAACCTGAAGATTTGTCTAATATTATCTCTAGGGGTTTTTTTTTCAATAAAGGAGAAGAGATAGGTTTTATAAGTCAGCTGCAGGCTTCAGTAAGTCAGGCAGTATATTTCATTTCAGATTTATTACAAGTTTCCCATGGTCTAGAACTATTTTCAGTTCACTCCTATAACACAATTTTGATTGAAGACATTTGTACACACAAATGTCCTTTCTTCCCATTGCTTTTTAATTCACTCAAAGAGGAATTAAAACCAAGGAAGTTCAACAGATTCTTCCCACTTAAAAGATCTGTTCTCTTGGTTTTCATGAAGGTCAGAAGAGTGGTGCCTTCTGTTTCCTTCCTAGGCAACCTCTTCCTGGCATATTTTGACACTAGGAAGCAAAACCAACCACAAGTACAGGGTATACACAACAAAGCTCATGCTAATGTGACTCTCCTAGAGATGTCCCGCTCCCCTGCGCCCCCCTCTTTGTGGAATTTGTACTGACACTGATGCTCCTTCTGCTGCCTGCTTTTTATATTTCCTAGCATGGTCTCTTCCTATCTGGTACATCATGGATACTGTGCTACAGCGACTGCCTTTGCCCGTGTGACGGAAAGTACAGTCCAGGAGGAACAGATCTCCATAAAGAACAGACAAAGTAAGCTTGTTTGTATTGCTGCTGTTGCTTCCCTAAATCCTGAAATGTGCAGCCCTTCCTGCCTGCATCATTCTTTGGGTGCAGCTGTAGCCCAGTCCCCTGCATCAATAGGCAGGACTTCAGTGTCCTCCGTTGCTCCTTCTAGTTCTCTTTTATGGCTGGCGTTTTCTGTTTTTTTGCATCTCACCTTTCTTTCCTTCAGTTTACTACTCCCAAGCCAAACTGTTTGATTGTTCTGGAAGCTGGTTAACTCATTCTTGAAAGAATGGATGTTGTTTATTATCTTTCATATTACCCTTTAGTTTCCTTCATGAAGCTGAATTTCTGGCTTTTTGTCCCACACCCTGCCTCTTGTGGGGCTCTTGACTGAGATCCCAGTGTCATCCGTTCTCCCAGCTGTTCAGTTAAAATTGATAATTTATTGACTAAAATGGTGGATTGTCATATTTGTCACAATACAGTGGTACCTCTACTTACGAACGCCCCTACTTACGAAAATTTCGAGATACGATCAGCTCCGGCCCCAAA